CACAGAAGAGCATCACCCTCTAATGCTATAAGCCTACCACCGTCGCCTCGATCTTATCTACTTCAGTTAACCAACAAAAATTAAAATAATGCTCTGACCTTATAATCCATCCATCTAGATTCATTCCGTCAAACAAGAGCATATACAACTTGATGAAACCTCATTTGCCCCGACTCCGGTCATCATTTCTTCACCACCAATCCCCCTGCTAGTATGGCTTCCCATGGTGGCCTCATAACGAGATGATATGGTTCCGAAAGTGTTGTCTGCACCTCTTCTTGAAGGGACAAATGCAGTTGGACTGTTTCGACCACCATATGTGAGAAACATCGAGTAAGGAAGGTGATTTTCTCTGTGAATTGTTGTTGCAAAGATTGTTGCATGTCTCTTATACTGGATCCATTCTTTGTGCTACAGAGTCCACTCGTGGGGGTGCCATGGTCAACCAGAACAGTGATGCTCTGATACCACTTTGTTAAGAACCAAAAGTTAAACAATTGAGAAGAAACAAAATTGAAATTGAATTTCTCGCCAAGCTTAGATTGGAAACAAACCTATAGAAACAACTAGTTATTCGAGGCACTAGAATATCCCACATAAAATAACCAATTTCTCCATATATATCCCTCCTACCCTTCACTATTTATACTTGAAGCAAAATAGAAACATTACAGGATTCCTCCATTACCCTGGACAAAATTACCTTACAACCCCTTAACAGATTCCCATCAACCAAGTAATGTTATTTATTCCTTATTCTCGGAGGTTCCCTCTTTCCTATGCTTAAGTGGCGGGCGGATATTTGACAATTCTTAAAAATACGTATGTTATAGTCAGATTGCTCATTTCTTATGGTTCCTAATCAAGCTCTACCTTAAAGATGAAGTTCTAGATCATCCAAGATAGTGTTCAAGATTAATATGAAAGTCAAACATTTTAACACTAACTAAAGGCATACATGAATTAGTAGGTATTATCATTTAGATCATCCAGGATGTCCATATAGTAGCAACATGCATACTACATGATAGTTTATGAATGGGACAGCTTGGTTTGATAAAAATGTTATATAATAATGAAGTTATTCATGCTTCTAAGAACCAGATTTTATTATAACAAACATACCAATCTATTGAGATAGATTGTTATTTCCTTTCAAAGACGGTACACCACTCATAGATCTCCAATTGAGCTACTTCAAGTAAAATAAGAAGAGATCTTGACAAAGCCTCTAAGTTGCACGTATCTCCTATCAAGTATAACAAGGGTATGCAGAAAATCAACTGATCCAATTAGAACCTACCGGATATCCAATGTAATTAGATAGGATTGAAAATTTTAACATACAATTTAAATCTGTCGGTTTTCGGATGGCAATCCAGATCAACATCCAATTACCCATCTAATTAATATATACGAACTGAAAACTTAAATTAAAAAAACATAACTTTAAAGAAAAAGAACACTTAAATATTAAACATTAAAAAAAACTTGATCTCGCATATTATTTTCGAATTTCCAAGAATAACATTTACGACTCTCGTCTACCACTCCACGATGGCACGTTCGTCCTCTCACCTCTGTCTCGTTGCATGGCGCCTTTTAGCTCGATAAAACGGATTCTATTTCAAGCCCAGTAAGTCGGTGTTTACTCCTAACATGTCCATGTTTGCTCGTTGTTCGATTTTGGTTCGTGTTTGATTTTCTATGGTCCGTGTTCGATTTTGCTTTATGAGTTCGCTTGTTTTTACAAATTAAAATTCACACTTATTATAAGCGCCTTTTAGCTCGATAAAACGGATTCCATTTCAAGCCCAGTAAGTCGGTGTTTACTCCTATGATGTCCATGTTTGCTCATTGTTCGGTTTTGGTTCGTGTTTGACTTTCTATGGTTCGTGTTCGATTTTGCTTTACGAATTTGCGTGTTTTTACAAATTAAAAGTCACAATCATTATAATAACCCCTAAAAAGGAGAAGACAAGTGGTTTGAATGTAAAAGACTAAAATTTACACACGACCATCTAAAAGAACATAAGTTTTTGAATGTAAAAGTTACAAATGATAAAATGACAATGTTTGTTAGCAAACACACCCGTTTCTTCCTAGTCTCCTCTTTGGCATCCAGAAATTGCTAAAGGATGCCACTAGCATTCTTTTGGGCACTTAAAAAAAAGCTACTTCATAATCATATATCCATGTTAGATTGTTAGGTGTGCCATTTTGTGTTAGTTTAAGTGTGATATGTCCATGTTTAGTTTTTCCGTTTTGGTGTCCATGTTCAACACATATGAATATGGTTACTTGATTTATTATTTAACTTGTTATTATTTATTAACGGAAGGCTTCTACTCAAACATCATAAAACCTATATCTCCCGTTGATGAGAAAGATCATGGCATATATGTAGGAGAGAGAATGCATACAATGTGGATGAAAGTGCAACATCACCATCTAATTTGCCTACCGATGACACTCAAGCAACTCATAACCCAAGGTCAACTAGGGCTCCATTAATGGTTCGGGATCACTTTACCAAAGTATGTGATACTAATGGTAACAAAAAGCTAAATGCAATTATTGTGGAAGCCAATATGCATGTGGTCATAGAACAATCAATTTGTTGAATCACATTAAGGTGCAATGTAAGATGTTTCCTAGGAGAGGTCACAAAAAACAAGCAAAAGTATGTATTGAAGAAAATGATAGGGAAGAAAACAACTTGTTGATGTGTACCAAGTTGTTTCCCTCCCCTTCCATTTTTCCAAAATACTCCTGTTTGTTTCTTATCACCTCTTCCGGGAAACATCTTACATTACTCCGTAATGTAATTCAACGAATTGTTTGTTCCTTTTTTCATTACCGCATGCATATTGGCTACCACAATAAATGCATTTAGCTTTATGTTACCATAAGTATCACATACTTTGATAAAGTGACCCCAAACCATTAATGGAGCCTTAGTCAACCTCGGCTTGTGAGTTGTTTGAGTGCCACCAGTAAGCAAATTAGAGGGTGGCTTGCACTTTCATACACATTGTGTGCATTTTATTCGTTACATATATGCTCGATGTTAAGATCTATTTCATCAACAAGAGATACGGTTTTGATGTTTGCAGTGGAAGTGATCTGTTAATAAATATTAAACATGTTACATATAAATTTAAGTAACCATATCGATATATGCCAAAAAAATAACATGGACACATCACTCTAAAACTAACCAGAAAGGCAAAATTAAACATGGACACACTTCTAAAACTAACCAAAAAGACAAAACTAACAATCTAACATGACCATATGATTATGGAGTAGTTTCTTTTAAGTGCCCAAAAAACTACCAAGTATATTATCCATTCCAGATGCCAAAGAGAATATGAGAAAGAACCATGTGTGTTTGTTAATAAACATTGTCATTTTATCCTTTATAACTTTTACATTCAAAACACTTATATTCTCTTTCACATGCTCATGTATAACTTTGTCTTTTACATTCAAAACACTTGTGTTCTCTTTTTTTGGTGTTATTATCCTAACTACGAATTTTAATTTTTAAAAGCAAGCAAAAGCAAAAAACAAGTCAATCACCAACCAAACTCAAAAAGCAAAAGCAAAATCAAACACGAACTAAAACCAAACAACAAAGAAGCAAAATCGAAAAGCAAGCAAACATAGACATGCTAGGAGTAAGCGTCACCTTACCGAGCTTAAAGTGGAATCCATTTTACCGAGCTAGAAGCAGTCATGCAAGGAGACAGAGGCAGAGGCAAGAGAATGAGCAATGTGGCAGCGTAAGGTCGTGGCCAGTGAATGGTGGTAGTGTGGAGTCGTGAACGAGGCTAGAAAGAGAGAAGTCGTGGACGATGCTAGAAAGAGAGAGGTCATGGAATAGGAATGGTGGAATAGGAATGGGAAGCAGATGGCATAAATCGTATCATGGAAATAGTAAAATGTAGATATAGGATATTAGGGTTTGGTTTTCTGATTTTGAACTTTTAAATGTTTTTCCTTTTTAAAAGTTCTATTTTTTTATTTTAAATTTCCAACTTGCATATATTAATTATTAAGTTGATGGTAGTTGAATGATGATCGGATGGGTAATTGAATGGTAAGTGGTAATTGGATGGATGACTAGAAGGTTGCTAGATTTGAATGGGTGATTAGATGTTGGATGATTCAGTTCAATGGGTTTTGATTGGTTCTATACTGCTATCCAAGAACCAATCAATCCAAATTAAATGTTGAAATTTTCCATTTATGATCGGTCGGTTCTAATTGAATCGGTTGACTTTCTGCACACCTCTACTTCTGCAAATTCTTTTAAGATACCTGGGTGCATTGAACACCAATTACATAGATTTTATAACATATTCTCAAGTGATGTGTATATCTTCGTGTATATCCACGTGAGCATAATATTTTTGATATATGATTAGGCTATAACTAGGGTTTATGATGTTCATTGTTTGTGCACATAATCACAAGCCATCTCATGTACTACGTAGAGAGAATTACGCCTAAATAATGACTAATGGCTTATATTCTTTAGAAACCTAAATAATATCAAAATTAAGGTTCAAACTTCGAACCACTTCCAACAAAAGGAAAAAAGTACGATGATGCTAGTCCTAACATATATCACCCCAGTCCCCGCCACTTATAACTTGCCACTTAAGTACCTCATCCATGCTTTGTAAGCTCCTAGAGAATTATTTTTCCAAAAAAGAGAACTCCTAGAAAATTCCTCTTAGGTATGAATGCTTATGTTTTCATAAACAATGAGGTCCAAACTACTCCTAGAGAATTCCTCATATATGATTTCTTATGTTATATTGTTATCATAAAGAGTGAGATGCCAAACTAAAGACAAGTAGCTGCATGTTAGTAATGAGCATTTCATTGCTAGAAAGCTCAAGACAAAAAAGTAATCAAGATAGTCTCCTTATGCTTGTCTATTTGAAGAATAATGACTCCAATAGAGATTTAAAAAGATCAAATAATACCTGGTACAATGCTTGAGACGGCTGCTGATTTGGAAGCAGTGGTTGTCCTTGAGAAAAAGGGGGGCCCATGCTAGTGGGAGGTCTTGAACCTGACTACAACGTTCAGCAAATAAATGAAAAAAGAAATGCAATATTACCATATCTAAGAAACTCAAACCACATCTACAATTGCAAATTCAATCTTACATGGAACATGGGTTGTGAATGGTGCAGCTGTGGTGCAACTGGGTGCTGAAAACCTGCATTGGGTCCCATGTGAGAATAATTTTGGTGAGGAAAGGCTGGCATAGAAGGTGGTCTGGGTTGTGATGGTAGTGGGGGTTGAAGTGGCAGATGAGGCATGTTACTTATATGTAAAGGCTGCTGCAATGGGGTGGTTACAGCAGGCATTGTAGGTTGAAGAGCTGATGGTGCCTGGCTAGAATAATGAGGCGGAAGAGCAGCCATATTTGAAAGTTGAGAGGATTGTGGAGATGGGATTGGTGCTGTTTGAGCATTGAGATGACTTCTGCTAAGCTGTGTTGATTGTAAGGGATGTGATGGCAAAGATGGGTTTGAAGGAGAAACAGATGAGGATGGCATTGGCTTATTAGCTTGGTTTTGTTGTGTAGGTGCACTTGTTGGGTCCCGCAAATTACTTTGACCTGGCAATGGAGTGGCTTGAGCATTTGGCTGCTGAGCAGGAGGTGTTGCTTGCTGAGGATGTTGAGATCCAGCAGGTTGAATGTTAGGTATCTAAATTATTATTAGAATGTTAGTTGGCCAGATACACATATATAGAATAGATCTGTGTCGACGGTGATTAATTAGCATACCTCTTGAGGGGGCTGCAGCATTCCTAGCATTATTTGTGCCTGATGACACATACAAAGAATAGGTAAAAAGATCAGCAACTAAAAGAGCGATATTTGAACTAAAACCCAATGGTAGAGTAATCTAAACACGTGAATGCGATTGCTAAAACGCACAAATGATTTCCCTCCAACCCAACTGAAATGGCACATGGCCTTCCTGTGTTATCCCAAATTGATTTTAAGTGCTTTCCCCTTGAAAATGTTTGAATCAATTTAAATCTGACCCTTAAAAGATTTTAGGGTCCATTTCTAGTTTCCATTTTGTGGGTTCCACTTTTATGATGCGAGGATAAATGATAGAACTCATCAAACGAAGGGAATGGAGAAAATAATCTAAACAAATGGAATATAAAAGTTTTGCATGTGTCTATGTGTAAGCAAGAGAGAATGGCATCAAGGTCTGATATAAGAGTAACATTAATGCTATACGAGGTGCAAAGGTCTCCTTCAAGCCAAAGCATGAGGCACAAGGAGGAGAGATGCCACCTCATCAACCAAGGTTAAAAATGATGGTGAATGGCCAAAAAGATGTTTGTCACAAAAGCTTCATGGTCAGTGTGGTCACTTCTTAAAGAGTCTATTTCAAACATCAATTATTGCAAGGGCAGTAACAAAGATGATGAATGGCAAAAAGGATGTTGTCAGTGATATGTAATTACAAAAGGTCCTGCAATAAAGCAAGAACTCATGCAATCGACTCTCTGTAGTTATTATCCATTGACCTTGAATTTCATATGTGTATGTATGTATGTTTATACACACATATCTTGACGTTTTTACTGGTTCATAAGCAGATATTTGCAAAGGTCAAGGTCGTATCTTGAATCTTGATGCATGATCTCCAAAAAATGACCCAACAGGAAGAATAGTAAGGACAAAAGCTATATAAAAGGAACAAGCTTCAAAGCAACCTGAACCATTCAAAGTTGCTTCCATATGCACATATAGCTTAAGTCTATATAGAAAACCAACCAACCAACCTAACCCAGCATAACCCACTCAGAGATGGGTTCTATGGAGGGTGAGATATACACAGACCTGAACCATTCAATGAGTAGCACAGCTGTTTCCATGAAGACCTCAACTTTCCAAAAATGTGTGTGAAAAAAAATTGACCCAAGTTTTTCAGAAAGGTTGCCACAAAGTTTGACGAAAAAGAGCTTAAGTCCGTATAGCATGGCTTCAAATCTATAGGGACAGAAAATGAAAGCGGATGGTAGTCAAAATTACAAGTATATCCTAACAAATCCCCAACAAATTCATAAGTCCTTGTTAATCAATCTTATTCCTTCAAATGCACCATATGTGAGAACATATACACTTAAAGAATTTAAGCATGATAGTATGATGCCAGATAGTAACCCAATATTTGGCATGTCAAATAAACTCAAGCATCCCAATATACAAGTTATAATAACAATCTTAACCCTACTAAAAGCAGCATGATGCTACTTCACCCTTGATTTAGGGTGCTGCAACATATCGATGAAGCCCCAAGGCCCCAACCACATTTTTTTGGTTTAAAAAATAGTGTAATACATTTGAGATAGTTGACTTCTTTTGGTGTTCTACATTGGAGATGCCCTTAGCAGTCACCCTCTGAATCACAAGAACCAAAGGACAAAAGAAATAAACCCTAGATAGACTATAACAAGACCTGGAAGAGAGCTTTAGTGAGTAAAGGGTTTTGAATCAAGATTTGTCTTGCTTGGTCCTGGTTCTGTTCTATCAATGTCTGCATAAGAAAACACATATAAGTCAATTACACTGCGTTCAGTATAAGAAAAAGAGATTTTTAAATTTATCTTTCATCTTTTCCCCTAAATTCAAAGAAATAATCTAACTGATCTATCAAACGAGTGAACCACTCCCTGTCTCCAATTTGAGGCCACTTTGATCAAATTTGATCGAAACAAGCGTCCCATTTAGTCAGATTCCTCAAATTCGCTCAACATTCGCAACAACATACATTATACTTTTCTTAAATTTGGGGAGATAAATTTAATTGCGCAAAGGGGGGAACCATAATATTCAAAAGAGAAAACGACATAAAGAGTGGCGTGTGTTTACCTTCATCTGAGACATGATATCGTAGAGTTGATTCTTTGACATTCCAGCAAGATTCATGGATAGACCATCGCCAGTGACCTGATTTCCGGCCATTCTCCCCGAGGTCTGTGGGTTCCTGTGTCCAGGAGATTATGTATGAGTCAAAATTTAGGGCTCGGTTTGCAGAATTGTGAGAAGATTTATGTGGGTCGAGGAGAGGGGTTTACAGCGAAAGGATTTTGGGAAGGACGACAGACGGTCAATTTGTTTGGAATGGATGGTCATCCATAATAACTAAACTCCACTTTTGGTCGTTGTGATTTTCCACAAAATCTGAAAATGGCCAATAAATCAGTCTTGATAAATTCAGTGATCACAATTGTTGTGTATGTCTGAAATCGAAGCCTGTCCCGATGAGATATTCCATCACATTCTCAGTATCTCAATCACTACGTCACAACCCTCGTGGTTAACGAGTCATTTATCATAACACCATTAAAGGATAGTTCGTTAAGTGAGGGACGTTTCGGTCATTTTATATAAGTGTTTGAAGTCTATGTACAAGCATCATTAGCATTAACAAGAAAAATATAAAACCAAACCATTTTTCTCTCTCTTTCTCCTCTCCCTCCCTCGTCAACTGCTCTAGCACCCATCTGCTTTCTCGCTTCTCGGACGGCCATGTGTTCATCTTCTCTGGCAAGCACAAACATAACCCTTAATTAAATCAAATACAAACATAACCCATTTTCTCACACATATTGTATTGTAGCGTTAAAGGGTCTTTCGTTGAGAGCACTGGTTGCCTAGAAAAAGACCCAAATGCAGGTAAAGATACATGCTTAAATTTGGTCAAAAGATCATTACATGAAAACTTGAACTTTTTGGCATTACAGATTATACACAAGTCACTAGATGTGACTCAATTTGGTGAATCGTGTGCTCTTTTGCTTGGTTGATCATAAGATGTTCAGAACTCTAGAGCTATAACTTCTACAAAATCCCCAACAAACAGATATCAAATAAACAAAATCGCCATGGAGATGGTGAATCTTCGTCCATAGAAGCAAAAGATTGTTGGGATTTAGGTTTAATTTAACTTGGTAAAGTGCGTTTCAAGTTACTTTATGAAAATTATGTATATGTTTGTCTCTTTTTGAGCTTTCCGATGTGTTACTTGAGATTTTTATCAAATGTTGTTGACTGGTTGATATGTGTGCATTTTTGGTACATATGATTTCATAGAACCATGATAAATTTAGTACAATTTGATTTCATGAATTGTTGATAAATTCTTGTTGATGAATCTGTTGAATGTTTGTGACATGAATCATACTAGTTTTGATCGTTTGAAAGTTTATTTCAATAAATGCGGTCTAATTATCCTCATTCTATTTGGGACGTAAAAAATTGCATAAAACCTTTAGAAAATGCATATTGTTTGCTTATTTTGACTTTTGGAGTTAGTGAAGTAAGATGTGGATTACATGTGTTTGGATGTGTTGATCAATTAATGAGTCATGTAATTTAGGATGTAATGTTTCAGATGCATAGGCACAAAAGTTAGTCGTGTTTGGTAAGTGACAAGTTTGGATGTTTTCACTTTGTGGCTAGTGCTTGAGTATGCACCAAGATCGTATTGGTATTACGGAGGTGAATTTGACTGAGTTGGACTTTGGTAGTGAGTGTATCATGAAGGTGAACTCAACTGAATCAGACTTCGAGACCATGTGTACTGCGATTGGAACTAGTGTAAAGTCAAACATCAAGACATGAGTATTATTGTGGGTACTCTTGCGAAGTCATACAATGAGAGTTGAGAACATTGGCCTAGTATAGTTAATGTCAAGTCAAATAAGGTATTATGGAGATGAACTCGTGTGACCATTGACTGTGAAATTGTCACTCAACTTGTTGACGAGTAGGCACCTAAATAGTGTTGGATATTCAAATGGGTACTCATGTAGAGTCAGACGTCGGAACCTTGGGTATTACGGTGGAAACTCGTTTGTAGTTAGACATGATATGTTTACATGATTTGCTGAATAATTTGACGCATTTAAGTGTGGGGACAAAGTTTGTTGAATTACTTAAGATGAAATTGAATGTGTCATGGTGATAGACATATGTATATGAATGTAGTTGAAGGTAAATGAAGATTTTGTGAAATGCATGTAGATACAAGTCAATGAAGGTACGTGGATGAAAGTCATTTCATACGTTCACACCCAAAAAAAATTAATTCTCGTGGAAATCCAACCATATATGTATGCATATCGTCTAGGGATGGTGATTTGTCTCAACCCGGTGGGAAACCAGTTCACCTGAGCCGAAACGGGGACGGGAATTCCTCGCTAAACCGGATCCCAGGGCCGGGGCAGGGGATCCTCTGTAGGCACAAACCGGGGTTGGGGTCAGCACTGGGTAGAGTATCCCTCGACCCGCCTCGTACCCGGTATAATTTAATTAGTTTATTTTATTAACATATGTATAAATATATATAATATATAGATTATTTATTTTCCAACATTAGGTTTTCATTTTAAGAATTGATTTGAGAAATAAGACTCTCCATACTCCACGAGACCATGACTAGTCGACCGTTTCTTCACGTTATCACGTTCAGTCTTCACTTCACCAGAACGACAGGGTTGGGGATCGGGTCTGGAACAGGGAACGGCGGTTTGATCGAGGGGTTTATCGGGGTTGACCAGAAAAGAAACCGGGGATGGGATGCTAATCCATGTACCCGCCAGGGACCGAGGCTGGGAGCCGGGGCCGAGGGTAGTTAATAGAAACCAGGGCCAGGGATTGTAAAACCCGTCCCATCATCGCCCCGTTGCCATGTGATAAATGTTAATTTCTTAACTATGTTACATCATTTTCTTAATAATTTCTCTCTGTTTTATTTGCTCATTAGTGTCTAAATTGAGTTCTTTTAATCGTTTTATGTAATTTCTTACTTTTATATAAAGTAATAGTATTATATCAGAATCTTATGTTATTTTATTAATTATGTAGAGTTTTGAAGTTCATGGTCAATCTTGTAGCAGTTATATGGAATTCTTTTGCTGGAGTTGTGTTATAACAGTCCTATAGGAGTATCTAGTGGGCCGCATCCTTTCTTTTGGGTCGAAACCTTGGACTAGTGAGATTAGTTGTTGATTATGGGCTTGGGTTGTGGGTTAACTTGTAGTTTAAGTCTCTCTTTTGTACTAATAACCTATCTTCTTACATAAGTTTTGTCCTCCTTATAAACAATAGTTGTTATTAGCTTTAAAACATACATTTAGCCTTTGAGTTTAATATTGCTTTCTATTATTTGTCTAACTTTCGGCTTTCTTGCTTAACAAGAACCGAAATCGCTGAAGTAAATTTGCTACTTTGTTCACAAAATCAATCTAAGCTCTCGTTTACTTTCGATTTTTAAAAGATTTATAGTTTATGTCACAAGTTTGAAATTAATCGATCATTGTTGTAATATAATGGATTTCATCATTTGTGGCTCACGATCAATTTACTTAAATAAAAATCCGTTTTCCAAGTGCTTTCAAGTATTTTCTTACTTTTAGCGATGAAACTTGTTTTGCAAGTACTTCCTTCTACTTGATGTCATTTCCTTTATAGTATTTTATATTTTCTTGCATTTTCTTTTTCTGCAATTTAATTTCCAGTATTTTAATTACTGCAATTTACATTCCAACAATTTATCTTTTAGTCATTTATATTTTTGCACTTTAATTTATAGTCTTTTTCATCATCGCAATTTATTTTCTACAATTTACTTTTCCGCATCAATTATTTATTTTCAATATTTACATCGTTCACAAGAAGAAATCAAGCAATAATGGGCTAAACACCTTAGTTTGGGGTGTAAGGAAAAATTAAAACCAAAGTTAATGTGAAAGTACAAAACAAAAGTGTTTTATTAGCATTATTGTTTAACTATTTGTGTTCAGGCGATTAATATTTCATTAAATATTACATTAAATTAATTGACAACTAAAATTATGTATGAAAATGCATTAACTTTCAGAGTTAAGATAAATAAGAAAACCTGAGGTAATAGGAGAAGGCTATAAAAAGTTTTGATATTTGACAAGTACTATAATCCTACGGTGTAGGATGGAAACACTGCGTTGTGCTATGATTCACGACATCTAATATAAATGATATCGTATCGATAACACGTTGGTTTGTGTATACTTTTGAGAGGCCGTCTGATCCAATAGTTGATATTGTGACAGTTCTATAACATCATCATGTGGTATTATAGAACTGTGGCAGGAGTCCTATGTCATTTTTCTATTGGATCATCTATTTTGTGTCTTAATCAACCTTTGCACCTTGTGTTTTTTTTTTAGGACTGATATTTCTTAGCTGCTAATCAAACCACCCAATTTTAGTTAAAACAAATCCATCGAATTCGTCATCTGAAATTAGTTTTCAAAGACTGAACTTTTGAAAAACTTTATAAAGTTTTCTTTGTGGGAACGATATCTGATACTTATACCATTATTACTTGTTACAAAACAATAGTAGTTCAATATGAGGTTGCATAAACCGAAGAAACACTATGTCTAATAACGTAAGGTTCTAAAGAAAATGTTAAATAAATGAAAAACCGAAAAATCACGAGAAAACATATGACCAAAAGAGGTGATCATCAACAACAACTTCTCTAATGTTTGATCAAAAATTATTTAATCAAAATATTAAAAATACATTAATAATTTCAAAAATTATTAAACAATTATATATTCAATTACTAAACCGATTATTTAATCAAAATATTTAATTATTAGTATTTAGTAATATTGAACAGTAAAAAATTGAAAAATACATTTAATGGAAATCAATATTATATTTAAAGACAGAAAAGTCAAAATTTTCAGAAGACCCGGTGCCTTGATAAATTGCAATCCTTCACCACACGGATTACAATCCGAAATAATGCATCCACCGTCCATATAACTTTAAATCAAACGGCTGTCATTCACTCTTAACTCTTCAACCATTCCAAACTCCAATACTCACCCACTCAAAATCGTTCAAATCCCGCCCTCAATTCAAAACCCACATCTATAAGATCCCCAAACACCATCAAGGCCTTATCATCTGAATCCACTTCACTTAAAACCAAACCCTAAAATCTGAATTCAGATCTGATCAACAATGTCGGGCCGTGGAAAGGGAGGCAAGGGATTGGGAAAGGGAGGAGCAAAGCGACACAGGAAGGTTCTTCGCGATAACATCCAAGGAATCACCAAACCCGCCATCAGAAGATTGGCTCGTAGAGGAGGCGTTAAGCGTATCAGTGGCTTGATCTATGAGGAGACTCGTGGAGTTCTCAAGATATTTCTTGAGAATGTCATCAGAGNATTAATAATTTCAAAAATTATTAAACAATTATATATTCAATTACTAAACCGATTATTTAATCAAAATATTTAATTATTAGTATTTAGTAATATTGAACAGTAAAAAATTGAAAAATACATTTAATGGAAATCAATATTATATTTAAAGACAGAAAAGTCAAAATTTTCAGAAGACCCGGCGCCTAGGTCACTCGCAATCCTTCTCAGGCAGAAAGCACACCACACGGATTGGAATCCGAAATAACGCATCCACCGTCCATCTGACTTTAAATCAAACGGCTGTCATTCACTCTTAACTTTTCAACCATTCCACACTTCAATACTCACCCACTCAAAGTCTTTCAAATCCCGCCCTCATTCAAAACCCACATCTATAAAATCCCCACACACCATCAAGGTTTATCATCACCTCAATAATCTGAATCCACTTCAATCAAAGCCAAAATCTAGAATCTGAATTCAGATCTGATCAACAATGTCGGGCCGTGGAAAAGGAGGCAAGGGATTGGGAAAGGGAGGAGCAAAGCGACACAGGAAGGTTCTTCGCGATAACATCCAAGGAATCACCAAACCCGCCATTAGAAGATTGGCTCGTAGAGGAGGTGTTAAGCGTATCAGTGGCTTGATCTATGAGGAGACTCGTGGAGTTCTCAAGATATTTCTTGAGAATGTCATCAGAGACGCCGTCACCTATACCGAGCACGCTCGCCGGAAAACTGTTACTGCCATGGATGTGGTTTATGCTTTGAAACGACAGGGCCGTACTCTGTACGGATTTGGTGGTTAGATTTAGTGTATATATTGGGATTTTAGTGTAGATCATATCTGATACCTCCTTCGTTGTATTCTATTTTGATTTCGTTGTCAGTCCTCATCTCGAGGTTATGAATTTATGTTATGAACACCTTCTTTTTTCAATCGATCTTCGTTTAAATCTATAATCGTTTTGAAACAAATTTGTTTCCGCTAAATCCTTCTCGGAGCTAATTGGTTTGTGATTTCAATCAAGCTCTCAAGGGGATTCTGGGTGCTGCTGGTCGTTTCAAGCGGCTGGTGCCGTCCCTGCCGAGCGATTATGCGGTGGTCTTAAACCCTAATAATTGATTCTCGAAAACATATGAATTAATTCAAAGTTTTTTCCATCTAATTAAATGTATTTTTTGTTCATTTGATGTAAAATATGGTTGGTGGAGTGATTTAAGTGGCTGTTTATCGAACGCTTACTCGGGTAAATGTTTATCAAATAACATTACCTCAGCAAATGAATATTGTAAGGACAAAAAATCTTATCCGGTAAGAACGAAACAAGAACTAAGAGTCTTACCTGGTAAGTGAAGGAGATGATTTTTACTACGGTAAACGCTTAACGGCTAAATTATTGCATACAATATTGTTTTGGTGGACTAAAAACTTACCCGGTAATTAATTAAACGGCCCCAAAGAAAAGTTGGAAATTGTGGAGTAACATGATTGTAGACACATTTCATATATATATTTTTTACAACACACTTTAATTACATTCCGTTTGGTTTGCAAGATTGTTTTTGAGGGATTTGGATTTTATGAGGGAAATTAGATTGAAATGAATTTGAAATCATTCGTGTGTTTAGTTTGTAGAATTTAGAATGGTATTGGATTCCATTATTTATATAAACTTTATTATTTTTTTATAAAAAATCGTAAAAATAATTAAGTTACATTTTCATTAATTGATTATTACAAAACAAATTTTTTAACATTTTTTAAAACCTTATTGCATACAATTCTACAAAATCTCGTGAAATCCCCAGCATCCCTTAAGGATTTCAAAACCATATGTTTGTAGGATTTCAGATCCAGACAATCCAACAAACCAATATGAGATTGGAATGGATTTGAAATCCAAATCCCCTCAAATTCAGTTTTATTTTTGCAAATCAAACGGGACCTTAGTATCTATGAGTTTTTTTCCAAGCAATTCCAATCTATTTTTTTCTATTTCTAGATAACGGATATTTGTTTTCATCGGTGCGTATTCTGATTTTCTTTTTTATACTATCTATACTATATTATAAAGCATTTGACTAAAACTCTTAAAAACTCTTAAAACTCTTAAACTCTTAAACTCTTAAACCCGTTCATCCCTATCCGATTTCATCCCATATCTGATTCATGTAACTAACTGCAGATAAACACAATCAAATACAGGATAAACATCTCATTTTAAATATAAAAAA